CCCATCCTGTAAGAGTACAGATGTTCCAAAGACAGCTAGAGAAAACTGACCTGTATAGAGAATTCTGGGCAAAGACAGCTTAGAATGCCAAAAATGGGCCTACGGATATCAAAACCAGTGTTTTAAAGGGGGAAAAAAAATCACAGAATAGGCCAATAAATAAATTAGTTTTAGCCCTTAGCTTAATTCATACCTGTTGTTAAAAGGACCTAAAAAGAAAAAAAAAAAAAGTACTTCACTCAAAATCAATGGTAGTAAACTACTTGAATCCTAAAATATAGCCGGAAGTAGAGAATAAAATATCTGGAACTGGGCAGGTTTCAGATAGCTAAACTGCACACAACATACTCTAGAAATTCCTTCTCCATGACAAAAATGCATAATTATTTTTAATGTGCAGGGCCACATACAGTCCATAAATAAATAAATATCCACATACGTGGACAAAGGGTGCAGACAGAAGTGCAGCTCCCAGGTCCAAAAAGGACTTTTTATGGAAAGCGCCATGATTTAAACTGATCCTTCTGACCCAACAGATGTTAGCTGTTGGGTTGGGAGGGTGGGAGATCAAGCTGCAATTTGGAGCTGATCCAGGACGAAAGATTGCAGCTCTATCTCTCCCTCCCAGACCCTGTGCTGACTCAGGATGGGAGGAGGAAAAGGCAGGGGAGAGAGCTCTGTTCTGGAGTTTCCCCAGCCACACTGGAGATGGTGCTGGTGGAGATCCAATCCACCTGCCCCCCTCAGCACAGCTGGGGAAATCCCAGTATGGACCTCTCTCCCTTGCTTTCTCTCCCACTCATCCTGAGACAGCACCAGCGGCTGAGCTGTGCTGCAGAAGCCCGTCACTGGAGCAGACCGAAATTAATGAAAGCACTCTGCTTTGGAGTGTCTTCATTTGAACGCTCATACAATGAGAGTTAATTTGTCACTCAATCGGAGTGCCCTGCAGCTGTGCTCTTGTGTTAGGGCATGGCTTTAGAGTGCTTTCAAAGGGCTGATCATATGACAAATGTAATTTCTGTCTGTGCCCAAAGTGGGAAACAGGGCATGAGAACTTTCAGCAGGAATGGTGCTGATGGACAGCAGCACCAGGCTAAGAATTTGGACACAGAAGTGTGTCCTTATAATTTCAGCAACTACAGTCAAGCATAGGTAGAAAAATATAATGACCTCTAAGGGTATGTCCCCACCACAATACTGTTTAAAGATATTCTAACTACTTCAGGTACCAAAAGGTACATGAGCACAGCTATGTTATCATGGCATCCTGTTCCAACCTAATCATGCTGCCTCTGCTGTTAGAACTAGTAATATCATAAGTATGTCATGGCAACTGAGATTCCTGGGATCCACAGATAAGACCCATGGCTTCTTAGGACAGTGGCTTCCAAATTGTAGTCCATAGACCTCTGGAGTCCACAGACTATGTCCAAGGCAGGGCTGGGCAATTATTTGAGCCTGTGAGCTACATAGGGAGTTTTGGTGAGCATTTCCCACCCTCCCACCACCCCTGCAACAGCTCACCAAACCTCCCTATGTAGGATGGGGATGTGGGCAGGAAGCTGGTGTGGGTGTGGGTGGCAGCTACAGCAGGTTCAGCCTCTGGCCCACACTTCTACATCAAGGAGGGGCTCAGGCAGATGCCCCAATCCCCAGGGGGAAGCTACTACCTGAGTCAACGGCTGATGCCAGCACCTGCCCAGTGCTGCTTCTGACATGTGGGCAGGGAGCTGATGTAAGCTGTGGAGTCATCCTGTAGTTGCGGCATGGCTGTGGGGGAGGGGAAGACAAAGAGACGGAGCAACACAGTCCTGCCCATGATGAGTGGCTGTGGCCAGTACTGAGCACTGGGCAAGAGCTGGACCTGGCAGCAGGCATGCTCATAACTTCCAAGGCCCTTCTGGCTGTGGCTGACTGATGCCTACAACAGGGTTACCCTGAGGCTGTCTCCACTGCTGATACGCCACACCACGTCCAGGCCCCCCCCAAGCCTGTGGGGTGGTGGCAGCAGCAGCAGGGATAAGCCACAGATGTCCAAGAGGTCCGTGAAAGATAAGCAATCAAAAGTATGCAAATACCCACACTTACAATTCAAAGGGGTCCGCACCTCCATTCAAGATTGTTTAGGGGTCCACAAATGAGAAAAGGCTGAAACCATTGCCCTAATAAGATTCTGTTCCACACTGTCCCTGCCACTGGGATACAGATTAAATATGTCCTCAGAAATATTTCCCTCTGTGGGGCATTATAGGTCTTAACCCAGCAAGACAAATAGAAGGGATGAAAGCTGTATTTGTTAAAAGATTCAGTTCCTCAGTCACTTCAGACTGCAGACTGAAAAAGCTTCTACTCCAGTGTGCTATTTCAAGATGACCTTCCAGGGGAAAAAAAAAAGGTTAATTTTCAGATTCTTTGGACTCAAAATAAATTTCTTAAACAATTTTAAATCTTAAAGATATCTTTTTTCTAATAGGACATCACCATGTCCTAGCTCCCACTAGCTTTTGGTTTTGAACTCTTCCTTTACATTTCTAGCTTGATTTGTTTATGTATTTTGCACATAGCTCTAGCAACAAGTGCTATGCATTTGGCCTGTGGTTAAACATTCCATTTAAGATGGATAATTAATACTGAGTTGGAGCTGAATTAATACTGAGCAGCTGAATTGAGTAATGTTCCATATCACTTGGTAAATTTAGTAATAAAATAATTTGTTTTGAATGCAGTAATCAGTTGTTAACTTTACGTAACTAAATACCCAACTACCTCCTGAAACTACTTGCTGTGCATTCTGAGGGAAAAATTATGCTGCTTTTTTTATTTTATCCTCTAATGAAATCTTACCTTATTGTCTATGTCACGGGGCAGGCTCTAGGAGCGGCCATGATCCCCTTAGCACCCCCTACCGTGCCAAGTTAACTGTTTAGCACCCTCTGTCTCGCCCGCCACGTCTTGGTTTTATATATATTTTGGTATGGGAGGCTGCCTTCTGTCCGCTTGAACACGGTGCTCTCGTACTGGCCCCTACTTTGTACAATGATCAGGTGCACCCCGCCTTATGGGCTACGCGTGCCTCCGACCTCCCCTTTAGCACACCCCAAGCCTTGCAGATGTCCCGGACATTGACTGGTCAGTTTGCTCTCCACGCCCTGACTGGCGCTCTAGGCTTGCCACACAACTGGCGCCTCCCGTAGGCGCCTTGGCCTTGCCACTCAACTGGCGTCCTGGCTAACGCCCCTGGGCTTGTCACGCAACCAGCGCCCTTACTGGTGCTCCCGAGCTCGTCACACACCTCATGCCCTTTTTGCTGGTTCCCTGGTATTCATTAACCCACTCAGGCCGGCCCCTGAGCTGGCTCCTTTAAGTTTCTTGTTAAGTTCACCGCTCTGGGCTCTATCCCGCGCGCCCTGCCCTCTCCAGGCTCCGTCCTGCCTCGCCCTTTCCTGGGGCTCCTGCTCTTGTAATCACCCTCTCCGGGCTTTGAACCATGCGCCCTGCCCTACTCCGGCCTCTACCGGCGCGCTCGCCCTACTCTGGGCTCTTACACTGGCCCTCACCCCTTTATGGGGCTTCCCCCTAGGTTCGCCCCATCTCGGGCTTCCTAAGAGACTTTCCCCTTCCGGCTTATGCCTCGTGCTTTTTACGCTTTCACCCCACTAGGCCTTGCTCGCACTCCCGCCCTCTCTGGGCCTGTCTCGCGCTTCTTGTGCTTCCCGCCCTCTCTGGGCCTGTCCCGCGCTTCTCACGCCCGTCGGCCTCTTTGGGCCCGTCCCGCGCTACTCGCCCTCTCTAGGGCCCGTCCCGCGCTTCCCGCGCTACTCGCCCTCTCTGGGGCCCATCCCGCACTTCCCGCGCTACTCGCCCTCTCTGGGGCCCGTCCCGCGCTCAGGCGGCCCGTAGCTGTGCCTGGCCCCTGAACCCTTCTCGGGGTCCTTCGCCCTACTGGGGAGAATACCGCCCTCACGGGCTGGGGTCTCAACCCCCACACACTGAGCCTCTCCGGTGCTCTCCCGCCGCACCAGCTGTGGCACCAATCGCTGTGCACTCGCTGGCACCACTTGTTGTGCCCCTACTGGGCACCAGGAACCCCCAAACTACTGGGGAGCTCCCGTGAGGCCTCCTCGCACCCCTCCAGCCTCACCCGGTCCTCCGGTGTAACAATAACAACCAAGAAACCTAAAACCATAAACCAACTGGCTACAACACAAATAAGCCTCCCGGCTGGTCTTACCTAAACAAACACAAGCCATGAGCCAGCTGGCTACAACATACGCTCCATGCTGCCCTGGCTACTCCTTATCTCCGTTGGGATCCTCTCCACTCCACCCCATTCTCCAGACTATCAGGCGGTAGGGCAACCAGGCTGGTTTACTCTGCCTTGCTCGGCTCAGCTCTACAGCAAAGGTGTTACTCCTTTGGCTGTCAGAGGGGAACTGCCCTGGCCTCAGCCTCTTCTGTTTATATGGGCCAGGCCCAGCCCCCTGGCGGTCAGCTGACCCAATCAGTTGCCCTAGCAACCCTCACCTGGGCTGCCCTGAAGATTGGCAGCTAAGCCCACACCACTGTTATTAGTAGCAGGCACCCCAGTGCCCTGCTACAGTCTAAAATATATTTTTACCTAAAAAAAATTAATCACATGACCAAGAAAAGATATAATGCTTATCTGAGTATATTTAACAGGATAATGTCAGTGCTAGAATGCAGAAAGAGGAAGTCAGTGGTGATCAACCCAAAGCAGGGTCCATAAGAAATACATGAAGACAATAGAATAAAACAATGCATTACATCAAGGAGCCTAGGTTATTAGTATCCTGTGCAGATTTCTTGGATTCCATTGTTCTGAGCATACATTGTATCCTAAATATTCTGGAAACCCATAAATCAACAGAGCAAAGTACTTTTTCATTCTCCTTTTCTGTGGAGTAAACACACGACCTAAGGTCCAGTTTACACATTACGTTGCTGTCATCCTTTTAAAGAGAAACGGTTTACAATACCTTATTGTCTCCTTGCACTTCTCCCAGCCTTTGCTGCAGTTCTTTTATTTCTTCTCCCAGATGCTTATTTCGATCCCGAGAATCACTCAATAGTTGGGCAAGATTAGCCTAGAAAAGTCAGTGCATCATCAGACAAGTATACTTGTGGTGACTGAAAAGGAACCTTGGGTTTATTGGCCACCTTTCAACAATATTTAGTTTTATTGCTGTTGATATCTAGGCCAAATGGTGTGTCATTAGAGACAACAAAAGCCATCAGGATTCCTTTATCTAAATTACTGCAAAATAAATATAGCATGTGTGCATACAAAGCTCTAGAATGGTACTTAAAACACAAACAAAGCCAGATGGGAATACCCACACTCTTTCTGATACCACGGAGAATAAAATACAACTTGACAATATTCTTTATGAAGTAGCCAAACTGTTTTAAACATGTATAATTAGGCAAAAGCATAGCTGGAACACATTTTATGAAACAGGACGGATATTTTCTTCTACTGATATTGTACAGAATTTTCCTACCAAATTAATTAAAAAGACCAAAAATTCTTCCTTAACCCAAGCCCCTAACACAATTATTGTGGAAGAATTTTTATAAAACTGGGGTAAAGTTTTAAAAACTGTAAGCCTGTCCTGACATTTTCTGGTTACTGAAAATATTATATTAACTGCAAAACAATATTCTTTCAGCAAAAATAACACATACACGTACACTCCTGTAAGACATAATGTCCTATAGTAAAAGTTATTCCTGACATCTTGAAAAGTCTGTATGGTTTACCAGACTGATTTCTAATTTGTTTATTGCATTTTACCAGCTTAATCAATAACCAAAATACAGTATAATCTCTTTCTTTGTCAGCCACAATAAAAAGTAGGGCAGCTGGAAAATGAGCAGTTAGACTTTAATTATGTTTTTTTTTCTGTTGGTGTGCCTCACAAAACATGTATTAGGGCTCAGTGCTGGGAGGTTACGACAGGGGAAAACACCCAGGAGTTTTCCTTCTGTCACTACCCAATCTATATGTTTTGTACTTTGGATGCCCTGTATGCAGCATGTTCATGTTGCTCAGGGAAGTACAGTCAACTGTTACAAAAGAGAGACAGCAAGAGAGAAAGAGTGAGAGAGATTATTTATATATATATATATATATATATATATATATATAAAAATGAAAAAGCATTTCTAGCTTTTCCAAGTAGGATTTGGTGAAGCACTGCAAGTCTCAGTTAGTGATGTGAACAGTTAGATGTTTAAACATTCAACCATTCACATACCTTACCGGTTATCAGTTAGCGCAGGGCAGGGAGTAATCTGGCGTTGAAGGGGCAGGTGGGGAAGGGAAGTGGCACTATGCCCCTGAAAGTGACAGGGCAGGGAGGAGGGAGGTGTGGGGGCCACAAGAAGTACCTAGTATGGCAGGGAATCAGTGGGAGAGCTACAAGGGGCCTGATACTTCTTGTGGCAGCACAACTCTGGCCCCTTCCCTATCATCCACCCTGAGATGCGTGTGTACCTGCCACCAACGAGCCGGGCTGGGGCTCCACAGGCCCTCATGCAGCTGCATGCTCCTGACCGCCTGCCATGACCAGCCCAGGCTCTAAGCAGGACCCTACCACCCACTATGAAGCCCAGGCTGCCTGCAGCAGGTGGCAGGGAGGCTGCAAGCAACTGCAACAGGGTCTATGGAGCCCCAGACTGGTTCGTTGCCAGCAGTGGGTGCAAACAGCAGTTAAGAGGCCAGGGCTGCACTACTACAAGAAGGTTAACCATTTAACCAAGTGGGAGCAAGTTTTAAAGCGAGACCCAAAAATGCACTTAGTGCTACTTAGGCTTAATTTAGTAAATAACCACTCATTCTTTCCTTCCTTTCCCCCTAGCACCCTAACCCCATAACTTACTTGTATGAATTAAAACAGACAAAAAATATGCCCCCAGGCATCATGGAACAATAGGATGATTGACTGCAAATCATTCTACTGGCACATCGTGTCCACACACTTGGTTGCATCTTTTTCAAGAGAACTACTCTCTTGTATACTCATGCCCTCAAATGTCTGCAGGATTAAATTGCAAATAATCTGAATGGGCACTAGGGTAAAACGATCAAAATCACCTACATAAATTAAAAAGTTGTACTTAAGTTATTTTATTTGAAACGTATTTTATTTATTTTAAAAGAGGACTGAAAAAGGACTTGAGATACCCACAGTCCCTCATTACATGGCCTCAGACATAAAAATCTGACCAATATAGACAGGAAGATCTACCTAGCACTGAAGCTTCTTTAAAGTATGCTTGATCGACAAAATGTTCTTTTTTATTTGCTAACAAATGAGTAACAACCATGAATACACTGAACAGATTAGGCAGGTAGCTTCAGGACTCATTCAATCATTGGTATAACTGAAAGGTGGTGGGGGTGCAAAAATAACCGCCACTGCCATGGTCTGTGCAGCAGCCAGTTCTGCCTGCCCATGCGCTGCCTGCACCCAGGGCACAGAGCTGCCCTGCTACACCTCTGCATTCAATAAATGGTTCTGAGACACTATTTCTAAGAGAAGTTAATATTTCAGGTTGTTTGCAGGACATTTACATCCGAAACAGTGCAGCTGAGGGTGAGGTTCATCTAGAATTAAATAACTTGAAAAGTTCTAACTAAATTTTGTAAAAGAAACTAATTCATGTTTGATACAGGCTGGTTAAACAACAGTGTACTACTTCCAGTTAATGCCATTTGTACAAGCCTCCTTGAAATACTTCTGTTTGTGAAATCCCCTTGCTATAATGAATTAAAACAAGTCTAAAGGCTGCACTGAATTCTTCCAAACATCCCACTCATCAGCATTTACAGTGGTATCACTGGGATTCTACCAACTTGGAACCAAAATCCAGCTCTAATTGAATAGATACAGGAGCATTCACACACCCATACTAAGTCTCCATTTTCAGGATCTGTCTGATAAAACTGTTCCTTTGGAATTGCAATTTCCTGCTGAATTTTATTTCTCAGCTCACATAAATGACTTAACTTCACAACAATCTTTAGATTCACAACTGAGAGTTTGAGAGAAATACTAAATAAAGCATTTAGACCCAAAAATAAAGACAGCCTCTTTAAACGTGCCAAGTACATTTCAGTGAGTTGAATACAGGCTTGCTCCTAAATGTAAAGTTTTTTTAATACTCTTGTTCAACTACAGTAAGTGAGCTATGTCACTGATGAATAACTGCTAAAGAACACATTTTCTAAGCTTACAGGCTCCACACAACATACATTTTAGATTGTCCCAGATTTTAATGGTTTTGGCAAGATATCATTAAAGCTTTCAGTTTAACTTCGAAGAGGAGAGAATTAGGGAACTCTAGGTGCTCTGGTAGGCTTAATCAGAGCCAAGAAATCACTGTCCTGTAAACTATGCATGGCCAAATTCTTTGGCACGTGCTAGAAAACATATTACTAGATGGCTGAAAGATTATAAACCCCTAACAATGGAGGACTGGGAATGTGAACTCACAAGAATCTCTTTTTAAAGGAAAAGAGAAGAAATCTATACAGGGCTCATTTTTCTACCTGGCAACCATTTTCCATACCTGTGGAACAGGCAAAATATATACATTGAAGCCAATTGCATTGAGGGACAATGAAACTCACTGAACTTGCGTAATTATTAGGGCTCTGCAGAGCAGGTAATATTCGATTCAACAGCCATGTCGAATATGAAACCGGGTCCCACTTCGATTTCCCATCCGCTTCAAGTTGAAGTGGGTCCGCTTCGACTCAAGGTCAAAGCTCAGTCGAATATTCGAGCTGCTTCGACTTTCCCATCGGCTATAATGGGGAAGGTCGAAACAGGCTATAACTTTGGCATTTCTTGTCTAATCTTGATGAAACTTGCAGGAATGGTAGCTCCTGAGGAGCCCACAAAGCGTGCCAACTTTCAACAAGATAGGTTCAGGGGGTGCAGAGAAACTGCACCCCGAATTCTTGAGAGCAAACCACCTGTAACTTCTGTGTGGAAAGCCACAGGGAACTCAAACTTGCAGAAATGGTAGCTCCTGAGGCGCCCACAAAGCCTGCCAACTTTCACGGTGATAGGTGCAGGGGTTTGGGGGAAACTGCACCTTATGCTGCTGACAGACAAAACTCGTGATCCAGATGGAGCGAGGAGGGTAGCATTCGCTCCATCTGCACCTGGCACTTGGGGAACCCCAGCAGTGAGAGGTTCACCTTGAGAAACACCAGCTTCTCCCCCAAACCAGGATCCAAGCAGGCACGGTGGGGTGTCACAACATCAGCAGCCATGCTGAACACCCTCTT